ACAAGGATATGTCTAAAACTATATAAAAAACAAAAACCTATTAGCATTTTGGGGGTTTTTCATTTAAAATAAAAAAAATAGAAAATTCATGTAGCTAAATAATATGTTTTAAAAAAAAAATTTAATTATATATTTTAAAGTTCCCCGGTACTAACCCAAATCTCATTTGTAAGTGAAGAAAAAAAAAAAGGGGTTTCTCAAAAATTTTTTTTTTTAAAGTGCGGTAAGGTCATTTTGACAGAAAAATACCCTGAGCTTTTTTTTTCCCAAGATATCCTCTCTGCATACGGGCCCCATTTTTCCGAACCGGGGGTCCTTTTTGGGTATCCCCCATTGTGACGGCCCCATTTTATCCCCCCCGTGTGGACTTTACTTCAGGAAAACCCCCCATGGGAGGCCCATTTTACCCAAAAACCAGGGCCCTTTATTTCCCAGGAACCCCCCACTGTGTGGTGCCTATGAAAAATTTCCGGCAGTTACTTTTCAAAATTCCTTTGCTGAAACTTTTTTAAGCATTTTCCCCATCATTTATTTTTTTCTTTCTTCTCTAGTCCTTTTGTTTTTCGTGCACGTTTTTCTTTTAAATAAAGAATAAATGGTGTAAAATGAGAGTTGAGTAGATAGTGGGAAATAGTTATACGGGACAGTATTTGAAAAGATGCATGCAGCGTGCTGAACCGCGTGGAGCATTTGGCCAAGATTTCCAAATCCCGTGGCCACTCAACTGGATGCGCCCGGTTCTCTATTTTTTGGCTTAAAAAGGTTGCGGGGGGGACAAACCCGTGGTTTAAATCCCGGGGGGAGGGAAAAGCCCCATCCCAATTACGTATTTACAATGGAACAAGGCCCAAAGGGTTCGAACCATAAACGAGCTAGGGGCCCCCAGGCTTTGGATACTAAAACAAAAAAACAAAGGGGTCCCGTGAAAGTAGAAAGGGGGTCACTTCCTTTTAAAATCGGGGGGCATCCGTCCGGATGGGGAACGACAGTCTGCACTAGAAAAGCCAATCGTAAAAAAATGTGAAAAGCAACTCTTTTTTCCTTAGCGCTATCCAAAAGAAAAATGGATAGTTTTTGACCCCGTAGTTTGTTTTTTTTCCAAAATTGAGTTTTACAGAATGGCTTTTTTTTGTCAAATGGTGGTTCCTTTCCTTCAGCAGATCACCCCTTTAAAAAAAAAACAACCCCCTAAAATGCCCTTTTACACATCTTTTTGGAATGGGGTTTTTTTTTTTTCCCCTAAAAGCACCAAGAAAAACAAAATTTCCCCCGGATTTACAGGGGGGGGTTTTTTCTGGGGAAAGTAAAGTAGAGGAAAGAAAAAAAGACAGATTCTGAACAAAAAAAGGGAAAAAAATAAACCACCATATGATTTCCAAAAAAAACAAAACCAGCAAGGCCACATTACAGCTTTTAGAAGGAGAACGACTCAAAAAACTATTCTTCGGTTTTTGCTTAAAAGGTGGGGGCCACCGTTGTGATTGTCCTTAAAAAGGAATGGTTTTTTTTCCACTTTTTTTGTGATTGCCCCTTAAAGGAGGCCCAAAAAAAAAAGTTTGGGGGATGCTTAAAAGGGATTTGGTTTCCACATTGTGTTGTGTTTTCTTAAAAGGGATTGGTTCTAAAAATTTTTTTGTGTTTTCTTAAAAAGGGGGTTCTCACATTTTGTTGTATTGCAATTTAATGGGTTTGAAACAAAGGGTGCAAATGACCCAATAAAACCTAAAAAGTCGCTTTTAGACTGTTTTAAGATTTTTGGCCAAAAATAGAGGAAACTTTCAATTTTAAATTTTTAAATTTTTTTGCTCCCCCAGGCTTTGAATTATTTTTTATTTTTAAGGGCCTATATACTGTTTCGCTGCCTGAGCACTTATTTTAGGATTGTGCGCCCTGAGCCCTTTTTTTTTCCCTGTGGAAAGGGCCCTTTTATTTGTGCGCGGTTTTGTATGGCCTAAAAGGCCCCTACCCGTACATAAAAGGGTGAAATACTTTGAAAAATCTATGAGTTTGGACCAATTTATCGTGCCTGACTATTTCCCAACAACAAACGAATTCTGGTGGCGATTTTTTGGTTGGGTTCTAACAACTCAAAAACACATTTTCTCGTGGTAATTACGGATTGGCCCGGATAGTTTGTTTTTTACCGTTTTTTAAGCGACGTGGGACCTTTTTGATTGGCATAGCACAGAACGAGAAATATGGGGAAACCTTTGCGGTGAGTTAAAAAATTGACTAAGCTAAGAGCCCCGTTAGGAGGGGTGGCCCCTTTTTGTTTTCAGCGTGGCCCTCAATCCCATTAAAACAAATCAATGTTTGTCAAAACTTAACAAAAACCCCTTTTAACAAGCCCATGCTTACATATTAAAACATTTTTTTTTAAAATTTTTTAAAACTCCCCCAAAACCAAACGGAAAGAGGATTTTGAAAAAGTTTTACCCTTAAATGTGGCGGGCATTTATGTTGTGGCTATAGTAGCAGTGAATAATTAGCTTTCCCCCAAAAAATTAAATTTTAGGTAAACCAAATTTCCCCTTAAAAACATGCTTCAGGAGGTGGAGACAAACCCCCCCCCCGGGGACCAAACCCCCATAGGATAAGATATTTTTTTCAACGACTTTTAAACCAAATTTAGAGTGAAAGGTAAAAACCCCTTTTTTAAAAAAAACCAAAACTTATCATTAAGCTTTCCGGGAATACAAGCATGTTAGAATGCCCCTTCAAAAAAGAGTTTTTAACTCTAACGGTTGCTGAAAGGGGCAAACGCTGTTACAAACCTCGACGAGTAGTCTCAAAAAGTGCTGGAGCTCCGGGGATGCAAGTGGGGGTTTTCCCGCTTCACAGGGACGGTTTCCCCTTGAAAATTAGAGACAGGGCCCAGCTGAAAAAAAGAAACAACAAACTTATCACAGCGCTGTACCCCCCAATGTCCTTTATTTTAACCCCGGGTTTCTTCTTCTTCATTCCTGGCTGTAAACTCTGGAAAAAAAGTCGGTTGTTCGCCTACTGTTTGGCTTTCCCCTAGTTCAAAAATTTGGTTTTTGCATGAACTATTTTTTGTACAGATCGGTTTTTTAAATGACAACGGTAGTTTTTTTACCCCCCAGTAGTTTTCACTCAGACTTTAAATAAAACCCTCTTTTCTGTTTATTTTTGGTAAAACCCACTAAAAAGGGAACCATAAATTGGGGGCAAAAAGGGATTTTACCTATAACCCTGGTTTTGGGTACACCACCACGTGGTCAACATTCTTTTGTTTTAACGAGGATCATAGTTAAAACTCAGTCGGAGTTCGCACCTGCGCAAATTTTAGGAGGTCATGATAGGATATTTGCTAACAATAACATTAGGTGTGGTTTGTTCTGTGAACCAAATAGGATTTTTTAAAGCCAATCTGACGTTTAATTTTCCGTAAGCCTCTGGTCCTGCGCACAGAAAGAGTCACCCAAACATAATTTTTTGCAGACGCTGGCAGATTCCACTGCTCCTCTGTTCCTGTTTATTATGAATCCTTACATATTTGAACAAAAAGAATTTCAACGCAGATAAATTCTTAACAATGTAATGATTACTAGATGTGGCCTATGTGAAAGAAAAAAGTTTTTTTTTCAGGATTCCCATTGGTTATGACCCCCCTTGTTTTAAAACAGTGTTCCTAGGTTCCATGTACACCACTTTTAATTCAGGGTTCATGCACCTCATTCCATTTGTGAAGTGAAGTTGAGAGGACTGACGCAGCTCGGCCTCTCTCCGCAGAACGGTTAGCCGCCTAGCTAGGAGCACCACACAAAACATAAAACACTATTGACTTCAGGGTTATAATCCCCAGGAATGTCTGTAAAAACTGCACTTGTGGACTGAATTAGGTGTTCAGGAAATAACCCTTAAGAGCGTGAAGCAAATGGCTCTATCACTTCACCAAGGATTAAGTGTGTGTGTGCGTACAAGTGGTGGTGGAAACAGAAACTACATTCTTCCCGTTCACCAACTGTCAACTTCAGCGAACAGACCTTGTTGTTTCTGGACTTTGGTCTTGTTCCAGCACAGCTTGAGTTTTGCAGGCACAACTGTTTTACAGATCTGGCTTATATATGTACATACTGTTGGTTCCTTATCCCTCAGGTATCTGTACTCTGACTTGGAAAGAAACACCCCTAATTAATCACATTATACACATGGTTGTTAGAGAGGCAGTGAGTCTATCCTTATTTCCTAGCCCCGAAACCCACACAGGAACATGCTGTTTAAAAAAATGTGGAAATAATGCATTCTGTCCAGTCTATAATATTCTCATTCCAGGATTTTCTCAGCTATCCTTTTCTCCATCTGCCCTCAACTGTTCCCAGAGAAAAGAGAACCAGAAGAAGATTACCCTAAAAATGTCACATGAAATGTTTGGTCTACTTACATCCATATTGATCCATGGTTTGCCAGAAATACTCAATTTTATGGGAGAAGGAAAAATGTTAGATAGGTGAAGGTAATTTGATATGCCTGTGTGATGAGGTGGGGTGCCCCGAAACCCACACAGGAACATGCTGTTTACAAAAATGTGGAAATAATGCATTCTGTCCAGTCTATAATATTCTCATTCCAGGATTTTCTCAGCTATCCTTTTCTCCATCTGCCCTCAACTGTTCCCAGAGAAAAGAGAACCAGAAGAAGATTACCCTAAAAATGTCACATGAAATGTTTGGTCTACTTACATCCATATTGATCCATGGTTTGCCAGAAATACTCAATTTTATGGGAGAAGGGAAAATGTTAGATAGGTGAAGGTAATTTGATATGCCTGTGTGATGAGGTGGGGTGCCCCGAAACCCACACAGGAACATGCTGTTTACAAAAATGTGGAAATAATGCATTCTGTCCAGTCTATAATATTCTCATTTCCAGGATTTTCTCAGCTATCCTTTTCTCCATCTGCCCTCAACTGTTCCCAAGAAAAGAGAGAACCAGAAGATTACCCTAAAAATGTCACATGAAATGTTTGGTCTACTTACATCCATATTGATCCATGGTTTGCCAGAAATACTCAATTTTATGGGAGAAGGAAAAATGTTAGATAGGTGAAGGTAATTTGATATGCCTGTGTGATGAGGTGGGGTGCGGAGGATAGATGGGTCAAAACTTGCTGCTCCGTCCGCTAAAATATGTTGGTGTGACTCTGTGCTCTGTACTTTCCTTGGTGTGGAAATCAAGCCTGTAACAGATAAATGATATATCAACTGACTGCACAACATCTTTACAGTTATCTTATTTTTCGCATTCACCAGCTGTAAACTGGCGGAAAGTTCTGGTTGTTCGTCCACTTCTGGACTGTAGTCCTGTTCCAGAACCTGAGTCTTGAAGTGCATCCGTTTTACAGATCTGACTTATTTGTCTCTCAGGCAGATGCACTCTGACTTCGAAGGAAGCTCCCAATTAGTCGACTCTTACGACATGCCTTTTTTTTTTTTTTTTTTTTGGAGGCAGTGGGTCTATTCTTTGTTTTCTCTACAATAGGGCTCTGGAACCCACACGGGGAATGGACAGTTCTGAGTTAAGAACCAGTAACACACCACTCTTGACATTCAGAGAAGCAAATGAAATGTTCCAATTCCACCAGTGCTAGTAACAGTCTGATTGTATGTCCGTCTCACCCCTCTCCTGAGTTATCATCGACAGTTAGCCAATCAGTGAAAAATTATTTGGAAGCGGTGGAGATGTGATTTTTATAGACGAATTATGAGTACACTCTGAACAGATAAAAAGAGTAATGAAGATGTCTTCAAATGAAAATAACTCATGAAGAGAACCGACTACACATATCAGAAGGAGGCAATCTACATTTTGTGGTCACATCATGAGAAGAAGAAAACTTAAATGCATTGTGAAAGTGGAAAAGTTAGAAGGGAAACAGCACAGATAACTGTATGCATATTGTTTGTTCCTTGCCTTTCAGGCAGACGCACTCCGACTTTGAAGGACAGCCCCAGTTAGTCGACTTTCACGACATGCTTGTTGGGGAGACAGTGGGTCTATTCTTGTTTTCCCCACAGTGGGGCCCCGGAACCCACACAGGGATGTGGGTCTATTCTTTGTTCTTCAAAATGAAGGCCCAGAACCTGCATGGGGAACACCACTATAATGACAGCAACTCTTTCTTTGTACAGGTAGTTACGATTGCCAATGCCTGACACCTGCAGATTTTAATCAATATAATCCCAGTTGTTATAAGCACCTTTCAGTCTTTCCAGACAAGAGCATTATACAGTGCTAAAGAAAGCCATGGAAAGATATAAAACTGAACTAAAAGTAGATCAACAAGCTTCACAATATAACAAGCACAAATGAAAAGTGAACGTTGCGGCTGGAGAGCCTTTATCAGCAAAAGCATAAATCAAACTAAACCAAATGAATGCAAAAAAAAAAGTTTAGTGACGTATCCCGAAGCAGCCACATTGATGTCTTTCCAGTGGAATAAAGACACATGAGATCTGAGAATATACAGCCGGAGAATGCCAGGGGATAACTCAAAAATTTCAGATGAGACTGTTGACAGTTCAGTCCCCTAGGTGTTAGGGTTCCCAAAGTGAAAACGAAGGAATTTTCAAGGAAAACAATGGGAATAACAGGCTATGGCAGTGGTGAGTGTGACTAAAAGACCTGATCATATCCGCTCTACACCCATGAACACTGCACAGGCTCAAACAGTATGAAAATCAATTAAAAATTAAGGCTATTCAGGAATTGAACAATGCCATGAAACCTCAAGTTATAATGAGCTAAATAAAACGAAACAAATGATTTGGATAATGCAGACACAAACAATACATTGTACAAGTTACAGCCAGAGATATTTCTGCCAGCTGTGTTACTACAGAGTTACAAAATATCAACAAGCACACAAAAACTGAATACATTCCACTGAAATACAAACGGTCTTTATCGATACATTGTTGTCTAATCGCCAGAAGTTCCCGACAGTCACATGACTTACCAGGTGACCATTATTACCCAGTAAAAAACACTTACCAGAGAAGCCCTGCTCAGAATTTTGTAAAACCATATCCAGAAACTTGTCTCCGGCATCAGGACCCACTGAGGAATGTCAGAAATATGAGACAAATGTGATAACATATAAAGTTGTTATGTCAGATTATTCAATCTGAAGACATCTAAGGATTTCAAACATATCATCGACATCATTATGGGGATTCATTCTTACAATCATCTTATTCCACATCATCCATCCAACTAAACATGACTGGTGGGACTCAAAATATGATAAGACTGACAGCAAACAACGGCCAGGCTAGAATCCAGCAAGACGGCAACGATGAGGGACGATTGAATGGTTTTCCGCCCTCTTTCCCCTCCCTACCCATTCAGAAAGCACTTTGAGTACAATCCCAACCCCTCTCCCCCAGAGAGCACTTGAGTCTGGTACCCCACAAGTCACAAAAATCCTCATCGCCGAACATTTGGATCTCTAAGCGTGAGCTGGGTATCCCAGTGATCTGGTATTTACATACACTGGAGCCTAGCTACCAACCCAAACCGATGCAATCGAACCATACTATAACAAATGACTGACAGAATCACTGTGAGGCTTCATCTAACATTTCACACACATCTCCATGACTTGATTAACCCGTTCAAGCTGAATATTTTCACATTTCGGATCTAACCAAACCCCAAAACTGTTTTCAGTATTTTTGGCAAAGTAAAATACTCAGAATTTTAAAACTATAAATGGTGGTCCAAAGGACGTTATGTTGAGAAGCTCGCTCTCCTATGATATACACCTGGCCAAATTAGAAGGAGCTGAAACCAAGGAAAAAACATCAGATATAAAAGGGCAGAAGAACACAGTTGACAACAGGATAGGGAATGAGCGGTCTGACTTGGGGGAAAGAAGCAGTAAGCCCAGAGATGGCGCAAATACAAAAAATTTAGCCACAAAAGTGGCGCCCCCCAAAAAAAAAACAAGACCACAAATATAGCCGGAGACTTTTGGCAGCTTCGGCTATCTAGCAGCAGGTTGAACGTGTTTGAGTTTTAAATTTGATTCTTAAAAGGAATTGGAATTTGAGGCCTGAACAAGCAGTAGTAGTTTCTCTGGACTGGCCTGATGTGGAGTTCTGGCCTGTGTGACCCCAGAAACAAAGATGACCACACAACAATGCAACTGCAATGTCCTAAAAAACTAAACAGGAAGGCTAACCAGGTCAAAAAATGCCTGCAGAAATCGGATGTGTTGTCATAAAGTGCAAATATCGCAGCCAGACAGTAAACAGGCACAACGCACTTACATCTTCGGATGAATACAGAAGAAGAAACTACTGTACATAAAATTACCTAGTATCAATACAAACCAACAACAAATACTGAAAGGATATACAACAAACTTCTTGTATTTATCATATACAACAAACTTCTAGTATTTACTCACAATTAGAACCTGACACAGAAGACATGGAGATGTCAAAGTCTGATATCGTGATATCACCATGGCCATTCAGGACAGGACCTGCCAACTCAGGATGTGCTTCACAGGATGAGGTACTGCTGGCTACCATAGACACTGGAAACAGATCCTCCTCCTGGACTTCTTGAGCACCTGACTTGACAAGCTGGGCGTTATCCAGTTTCTCAGGACTCTCAAAGCAGTTGGCATTGATCTGTTAGAAGTAATCAACTTGAATACCAGTCATTGAACAATGGCATCCTTATCTGGAGTTACCTTGTTAACAAGAGCTAGCTAAATAACATTCAGTTAGCATAAACAAAATAGGATAAACAGTGCAGACTGCTTGAGGCAATCTCGGATGTGGCAAATTTATGTTGCGAGGAAAAAACTATCTATCCCCTGCAATTTTTCTTCTTTGTACTGGATAAGAGAATTTCTCATAAGAAGTATTTCTTGGGTCCCTGCTGAGTTCTCCTTATCAGGTCTACACTGAAATAGGAAACAGGATAATGGAGGAAACCAATAAAATGTGTGTGTTCTAAATGCCTATTAAAAAGGTGTGCTACAAAAGAAATGCATCAAGAATATCTACTTTCTTCTTCTGCCTTTCAGTTCCAAATGATGCATAGGCCCTTTTATCAACTCACACCAAGTCCTTTGTAGACTTGTTTATACCGGCTAGATTATGCAGATGCAGTAGTTGGTCCCATGCCAACCCTCCTTCACTGCCTCTTGGGACACGGATGGTGGGTTACAGTGATACTATTCTACACTTCTCCAAGCTAAAATGAGTCTTGAGCTAAGGAATGACATCACAGCACAGCACTTGGGACATTCCCTAAAGCGCTCCGTCCTTGTCTTCTGTAGCCAGAGAAGAGTCTGGTTCCAGTAACGGTAGTTGATTATTTATCAATCTTGCCTTTCCTCTGAGTGTCTGTTAACCAGATCCCCCCTGGTCACTCCTAGCTGTACCATTCTGCACACTTCCCCAAAAGAAATATAAATCACAGAAAAGATGATGACTCAAAACCATGAACCCGGAACCTCTAGCACTCGAAGCTGACACCATGTCTCGAGACCACGCCCTTCCCCTCAAAACCATAAATCAATACAGCAAAGTATGTTTTCAATAATCACCACTAATTAACAGTACTGAAACTTTAAATACAAACAAGAGTCACATGAAACGGAAGGAACCTACCTCTGCACTCTGAGCTGCTAATGCTAAAAGATCACTTCCTGAACAGTAGTTTTCTGCAAGAGGGGGGGGGGGGGGGGGGGGGGGAAAGATCAAATATAAATATAGATGGCCAAATATTTGCAAGCATTTTAAAAACAAACTGTCTTAACTTTTTAGGGCAATGTAGAATGGGACATGGAACACATTATCCTTTTTTACATTAATTTATGAGAAAAATTGTTTGACATAATGAGTGTTTCGCTTAACGATTATGATTCTGAAACGAATTATGCTCGTTAAGCGAGGTTCCACTGTATTGGATATCACACAAATTGAGAAAACATGATAATATAATTAGAATGTACTTGCACTGGAACCCACACTGACAAAGGAATAAAGGCAGATCTTTTATTTTTAACATGTAAAAGAGAATTACTGGATGGGGTGAAAAATGTAGGGAGGGTATGGGGTGAGCTGCAAATGACAGTAAAAGATAGGGTAGCTTGGCACAAATTGGTTGAGGGCCTATGCTCCTTTGGGGGAATAAAGGGTAGAAGAAGAAGGAGGAGGAGAAAGAGGTGGTGGTGGTAGTGGTGGTGGTGGTGAAAAATAAGAAAAAGAAGATGAAGAAAAAGATGATGATGATGAAAAAGAAGAAGAAGAAGAAGAAGAAGAAGAAGAAGAAGAAGAAGAAGAAGAAGAAGAAGAAGAAGAAGAAGAAGAAGAAAGAAGAAGAAGAAGAAGAAGAAGAAGAGGAAGAAGGAGGAGGAGGAGAGGGAGAAGGGGAAAGTAGGAAGAGGAGGAGAAGGAAAAAGTAGGAAGAGGAGGAGAAGAAAATGTAGGAAGAGGAGAAGTAAGACGAGGAGTAGAAAAAGGAGATCTAAACTACATGATGTTCTTTACTGTTTAATAAGTTCTTTCACAAAATTTGAAACTTGACCCTACCAAGATTGTGCTCCTGACTGGCAGCAGGCTGGGACGGTGTCATCATGTTGATCACAGGCTGTGCCATCTTAACAAGGTTGGCATCCGTTACTTCAACAACCATTGGTCTTGCTACTGACTGTATGCCAGGCTGCTATTAAACATATACAGAGGTAAAAACAAAACAGTTTTATTTAATTAATTAAAGCAACATTTTTCCTGTTTTGAATTTAAATACTCAGGACACCAACAATGTATTGCACAATGTATTTCCTAGTATATTTTGCTTTATCTAATCAAGTGCATTACTATAAGGATTACATCAACATATAATAAGGCATTCAACAAGAATGTTTCTTCATGTCAAGTGAAACACAAAAATCAGTCTTTTGTTCTAACTGCATCACACCAAAGGATGTCAAAGATTAACCACCTGACCACAACGTAAAATTTAAAAAAAAAATATATTAAATTACAAATTACAAAAAATATGTGGCTTTATCAAAGAGAACCTCAATGCATTTCACTTGTAAAAATACAGAGAGAAAACAGCCTTCTTTCTTCTTCTTTTCTCTACTCCTGGAATGCCTCGTGGCGTCAGGAAGAGAAAACAGTATCATATATTTATTAAACCGCAGATAAAACAAGTACTTCTGCACTTGTTCTTAAAAAAGCAGCTGGCACATTGTGTTGTGGTTTATAGCTAGGCTGCAATACCTACTGGTCAAAAACATCTGAATGCAGAAAAATCACTTCTTCTTCTTCTTCATTTACCGGCTGTGAATTCCGGCGGTAAGTCCAGGTTAGTTGTCCGCTTAAACTTTTGGCTTTTACCTGGACCTGAGTTTTGCGTGTACAACCGTTTTACTGGCTTTAGCCGATCCCTGCCTCGCGGGCAGATATACTCCGACTTCGAGGAAAGACGTCATGCCTATTTCTAGGATGACTGTGGCCATTGTTTTGTGTGGGTCGAGATGTTACCTTATTTGTGTGGTGTCCTCTTTGTCCCATTCTCCACAGGTGTTGCGCCTGGAGTACCCCCTTTGAGGCAGCCCCGTGTGTAACGGTTAGCCCTCAAGGGAAGGCAGGGGCAAATCATGGGCATTCCCCGCCATCCAAGGAGGCTTCCATAAATACAGAGCCGATACATAACTCTCTGGTTCTGGGCTCACCCAAGGAATCGTCACGTCCTGTACATAACTGCTTAACCTCACAACCGTATTAGGCTTCCCGATTGACACGGGCTGCGCCCTCCGGAGATTAGCGGGAAGCAGCCCGTGGGTTCTGAACTTTTTTGGCCACACAAATAGGTACATTTTTCTTCATTGCACGTTAGACACCTTTAACGTTGTTTCAACTGTGCCCTTAGCACGACAGTGTGGGGAAGCAAGCGTCAGGCGTGGCTTCACCTGTTTTGGTCCCAACACTCGGACAAGTGGGGCCAGTGTATACGGACATTTGGACTTTTTTATAGTCGGTACGAATTATGGCGGTCTGACTTTAAGCTTGCTTGTTTGCCGTATGATTTAACTTTGTCGGACATCATTAACTAGCCAGCAGATGAAAAGTAGCTGTCGTGACGACGACGCTGGGGATTGACAGAGGGTCTATGTAGGTAGGATCTGACTGCGAGAAACCACCCACAAGAGATGTTACTCGTCTTGGCTCCGGATAAATCTCTTGGTCAAGGGTTGAGTCTCAGCAGTACAGTTTTCCATTTGCTCCAGACTTTTAACCAAGAGTTGTCATTGGGTGGTACATTTGCCAAGCAGACCTTACTCATGTACCGAATGCGTTTTGATAAGACTTTTCACTCATGCGTTTGGGGGCAGGCTAATAAGGACCAGAAAGGACACTACACCTCTGGGGGCCACCAGCTCCCAGATCCCCTGCCAACTATGTTAATGCTCGTTTGAGACATTTTCCATGGCGCACGACGGGGACATGCAGCAGGAGTCTTGCATGAGGTTCCGTAAAACCAGAACGGTGAAGGACTGGTGCCCGAGTGAGGTACGGAGTATCTCCTTATACACATCACATTTAACTTTCCCTCAAGCCTGTGACCTAAATCACCACGCCACAGAAAAATCACTAATTAGACGTTTTTATGGCATGCTTGTTTAATGGTTCTATCCCAATAATTCACTCCAAAGACAGGAAATTCCCAGGTAACAAGACAGTCTAATATTTCCCTTTACTGACTTATTCGTGTGCAGTTGCTTGTTCCTTGCCACTCAAGCAGATCAAGAAAAGATATAAAACCGAACAAAAAGTATATAAGCAGGCTTCACAATATAACAAATACAAACAAAACGTGAACGTTGCGGCTATTGAGCCTTCATCAGCACATACAAATGAAACAATACTACACAGAAACACAAAATCACTTAGCTGGTGTCTCGAAGCAGCCGGGTCGGTTGTTTCTCAGCAGACTGCCTACACGCGTCGGCTGGGGGAATAAATACCTCCCTGTACAGTACCAGGGGCCATAACAAGGGGGTTAGAGATAAAACTGTGAGGGCAGTTCAAGCAGATGTACTCCAATTTCGAAGGAAGTCGCCAGTTAATCAGCTCCGACAACATGCTTGTTGGGGAGACAGTGGGTCTATTCTAGTTTTCCTGACAATGGGGGCCTGGAACCCACACAGGAAGCATTCCTATCATAATCTCTTGATCAGTTCCCCTAACTCTGTCCACACTGCTACCTATCTGGCACAACAAACCATGAGCAGTGATAAAAACCTCACCTGAATGTACGCAACCATTTGGCCAGTGCTGACTTTCGGCAGCAGAGTCCTCTGTACAATAATGGGCGGCGCTTTCTTCGTCCGTGAATTCAAAGTTCGTTTTTTTAGAAGGCGGTTACGAGAACTTGGTCCTTGTAGCTGTAAATGATGAATCTGACCATAAATGACTTTAAGGTATGGCAAATTTGATACAAAGACAAATGTTAACAGAGAGGTAAAATTGTAGTACTTCCCACAGACTGCACATTTGTCTGATTTTTTGTTTTTGTTTTGGGCGTAATAATAGCGAAACATTTTGTCTGCTCACAGGTCAGCTGCCATATATGCACCTTTTGGCTGACATATCCTTCTTTGGGCATTTGTTGTCAGAATTAGCCTTTCTGATTAACTTCATGAGACTACAAGCCTCACTGTTGTGTAATCATCATTTCTCCCTTAATCCCTCCTGCCGGCTAGTCGAAAACAGCTGCGTACATGCTAACTGGTCCTGAAGAAAAAGCAGCGTACGATACTAAACTAGGCTATACTTGAGCACACACACACACACACAAATTTACTGAAATAAATGGGTAACGGCAAAGGCATGACAAATCCTATTTAGCAAGATATTGCAAAGGTTTAAAATTGGAGAACATAAATGTACAGCAAGAGAATCTAGAAGCCAATAAAACAAAATTGGGATGATACAATGACAGACAACATACTTATGGTTATCAAAATGTACAAACTGGCTACATGGTTGCTAATTTCTTCACCACATGGCCTGAAATCTTGGGTTAAAATCTGCACCAGCAGATCTGGTACAAGCGAGTCCTATCTAGATTTTTTGTTTTAGACCAGACCAACCTGCAGTGAATGAGTGATAATGTCACATCAACCACCACGGGGCTATACCCAATATAGCATGACAAAGAGAAGTGCCATTTACATTATCTCTTTTGCTGCAATTATTTTCTTTTTGGTTCAAGTAATGTTAATCTCCCCAAATAGAGTAGGTCACTTTTCATTCACAAGTTTGTTAGGCTGGTCGACTTTCCTGAATGTTATGGGTGTGTCCCGCTCTGCTGTTTGCTTTCTGCGTTGACTTGCATTTACGTTTTCATTCCGAGAAAGAGAGTGCCTGTGACATAGGTTGCAGCACTCTCTAGGGGGAGTTGTGTCAGGGCCAGTTTCTCCATGTTTTTGGAGTTTTAAAAGCGCTGGCGTGCTGAAATATACAACATGCGATATCAACAGCATTGCAGAACACTCCCGTAACCTCGTGCCAAGGTGACAGGTTCAGGAACTACCAATCAGAAGTGAGCTAGTGTGTATATGGGCAGGGCATGGGGAGATTAACGTTACGTGTACCTTTTTTTTAATCCCATCACTGTATAAGATAATATATGAAGCCTGTAACAATAATATATAAACACATACCATGATAGCTTTAGCCTGCAGCTGCAACCTCTGCTGCTCCTCCAGCCTCAGCTGCTCTTCCTTGGAGGAGACAGGTTTGACTGCTGGAGCAAAGGGTACCCTGAATACTGGATCTGGCCCAGTAACCTGTCAAATGTAAATGTAATCATGATTTTCTCCGTAACACAGGGCTTTACAATGTATGTCATGTGTTAGACTGGGTGACCAGCTGTGTGTCCTCCTATGCCTTCCAATCCCAGAGATATGTCTGACGGATACCCTCTGTAGAAGGATAGAATGCACCAAGCACAATTCTTCTTCTTCTCTGTTTGCTCTTATAAGTGCTATTCACCTGTTCTTTGTGGTTTACAGCTAGGCTGCAATATCTGAGCTTTTCAGCTTGTCAGATCTAGTAAAAACTAACCCTAAATTAGTTGCCTAATTAACAAAACATGCTAGTTAAGGAGCAGTGGAGCCAATTCCCCCCCCCCCCCCCCCAAATCACGACATGCAGCCAACAAAGGAAGAGATTTACATGTATATCATGACTAAGTGGTGCCAGCTGCGTCTCTACGCCTTCCAATCACAGAGACAGGTCTAATTCATGAACACAATAGAAGGATTAATCAAATCCAGAGTAAGATCTGTTACGCACTACAGAAGGATTTATAACTGAACAAAGAACAAGGTTTGGTAGCGTTACAGAACAATTCAATGAACACAGAACAAGGTCTGGTACCCACTACAATACAATTCACTGAACACAGAACAAGATCTGGTACCCACTACAATACAATTCACTGAACACAGAACAAGATCTGGTACCCACTACAATACAATTCACTGAACACAGAACAAGATCTGGTACCCACTACAATACAATTCACTGAACACAGAACAAGATCTGGTACCCACTACAATACAATTCACTGAACACAGAACAAGATCTGGTACCCACTACAATACAATTCACTGAACACAGAACAAGATCTGGTACCCACTACAATACAATTCACTGAACACAGAACAAGATCTGGTACCCACTACAATACGATTCACTGAACACAGAACATGGTCTAGTTCACACTACGATACGATTCACTGAACACAGAACATGGTCTGGTACCCACTACAATACGATTCACTGAACACAGAACATGGTCTGGTAACCACGATACAATACAATTTACAGAACACAGAACAAGATCTAATCCCCACTACAATACGATTCACTGAACACAGAACATGGTCTGGTAACCACGATACAATAAAATTCACAGAACACAGAACAAGATCTAATCCCCACTACAATACGATTCACTGAACACAGAACATGGTCTGGTACCCATTACAGAACATTTCACTGAACACAGAACAAGATCTGATCCCCACTACAATACGATTCACTGAACACAGAACAAGGTCTGGTACCCATTACAGACTTCATTGGACAAAGAACAAGGTCTGGTACCCATTACAGAATATTTCACTGAACACAGAACAAGCTCTGGTACCTATTACAGAAGGATTAACTGACACAGAACATGGTATGGTACTTATGGGATTCATCGAACACAAAACCAGAAGAATTAATCTCACCCAAAGCAAAATCTGACTGATATCCACTGTAGAAGGGTGGATTGGACCCTAGCCATATTGCCTATGCATATAAGCTTGATAACTAAAAAATGATACATTTTTTACTAACCTGTAAAGCTCCCTGGGGAGCTGCAGCACCAACAAATGTTGTGCCATTTGCTGACAACACTGTATTTTGCTGAAACACCTGTGCCACAGGAGTAGGATCAGTCATTGTGGCCATCTCCCTAGTGCTTTCTTTCCGCTCAGTCTGTCTTTTGCTCCTGGATTTTGCAGATCCCTCCCGGCCACAGTGGGAACATGGCACATTTTTATTTGTAGCTCTGTTATGATCAGCAGCCTTTTCCTAAAAGAAGATGAAAAATATCTCATATATTAATATGTAAGAACATTAGGGACCTATTTCACATCACTGCTGCCCTGGACTCATTTTTATAGACCAATTCATGCGACGGGTGCGCCAGACATAAAGTCTCATATTTGCATAGACCAGTTAGCTCAGTCGATACGAGGCTCACTTTCAAATCCAGCTGTGACTCGCTGCAGCCTACGGTCGGTGTTCGAAACCAGGCGGCTCCCGGAGTTCACCCAGCCTCTAGAAAATGGATACCAGAGCGACACTCTGGGGTATATGGAGGAACGTCGCTGTAGCAACAGAGTTACGTGCGGACAGCGACACAGGCGGACAGTTTCTAATCAGCTGACCGTAAGGTGGCAGAGCACTTATGGTTTAAAACCGTGTGCAATGACACTGGTTCACATCTCCCGACTTTACCTTTACCTCATGCAAATGGTGCACTGGACATACAGTTTCATTTGTTTAGAGACCATTTCACAACACCAGTGTACTGGACAGAGTCTCGTTTTTAAAGATCAATTCACCCCACAAGTGTATAGTCACATACTGTTATAGACCAATTCACATCACAGGTGCACTGGACATATGGGTCCCATTTTTTTTATAGACCAATACACCACTGGTGCCCTGGACATAGTCTCATATTTTTCTAGACTAATTCATGATACTAATGCACTGGACACACAGCCTCATATTTTAATAGACCAATTCACCTCCTTGGTGCACTGGAAATATAGTCCCATTATTTTTTATACGCCAGTTCACACCACTGGACAGTCTGATATTTTATAAACCAATTCCCATTTCTGGTGTCCTGGACATTTAATCTCATATTTGTATAGACCAATTCATGTTACTGGACAGATTGTTTAATATTTGTTATTCACCAGTTCACACCATTGGACAGTCTCATATTTGTATAGACCAATCCATGTTACTGGACAGATTGTTTAATATTTGTTATTCACCAGTTCACACCATTGGACAGTCTCATATTTGTATAGACCAATCCATGTTACTGGACAGATTGTTTAATATTTTTTATTCACCAGTTCACACCATTGGACAGTCTCATATTTGTATAGACCAATCCATGTTACTGGACAGATTGTTTAATATTTTTTATTCACCAGTTCACACCATTGGACAGTCTCATATTTGTATAGACCAATCCATGTTACTGGACAGATTGTTTAATATTTGTTATTCACCAGTTCACACCATTGGACAGTCTCATATTTGTATAGACCAATCCATGTTACTGGACAGATTGTTTAATATTTGTTATTCACCAGTTCACACCATTGGACAGTCTCATATTTGTATAGACCAATCCGTGTTACTGGACAGATTGTTTAATATTTGTTATACACCAGTTCACACCATTGGACAGTCTCATATTTGTATAGACCAATCCATGTTACTGGACAGATTGTTTAATATTTTTTATTCACCAGTTCACACCATTGGACAGTCTTATATTTGTATAGACCAATCCATGTTACTGGACAGATTGTTTAATATTTTTTATTCACCAGTTCACACCATTGGACAGTCTCATATTCGTATAGACCAATCCGTGTTACTGGACATGTTTAATATTTGTTTTACACCATTGGACAGTCTCATATTTGTATAGACCAATCCGTGTTACTGGATATATTGTTTTAATATTTTTTTAATAGACTAGTGCCTTGGGCAAAGAGCCTTCTATTTTTATGGACCAATTCATGCCACTTGTATACTGGACATAGTCACATTTACAGACCAGTTTCTGCCACTGGTGTGTTGGACATAAATTTCACAGCTACAGACAGCCCTAAATGAGTGGATGTAGTTTTATCAAGCTGGCCACTTTTAATCGCTGGGGCTCACTGCAAACTAATAAGCACGTCTTGGAAGTAGATTAATTATCTTCTTCTTCTTTGCATTTCCTAGCTGTAAACTCTGGCGGAATGTTGTGGTTGTTCGTCCACTTCTTGAGTTTTGCATACATATCCGTTTTACAGCTCTGGCTTATTTGTTTGCAGACTGTCGATTCCTTGCACGTTAGGCAGACACACTCAAACTTTGAAGAAAACCCCTAATTCAGTGGATCTCAACCTTTATAATGCGGTGACCCTTTAATACAGTTTCTTATGTTGTGGCGACTCCCAACCATACAATTACTTTCGTTGCTACTTCATAACTTTAATGAATGTGTGTTTTCCGATCGTCTTTGGTGACCCTGTGAAAGGGTCGCGCCCCACAGGTTGAGAACCGAGGCCCTAATTAGTCAACTTTTACAACATGCTCGTTGGGAGGAAGTGGGTCTATTCTTGTTCTCCCCCCCCCCCCCACCCCCCTAATGGGGCTCCAGAACCCACAAGGGGACGGTGACTAATAAAGGGGCCGCTGAAATCAGATGCTGAGATAGTATGCCAGCTGCCCCTTTAACTATTTCAAAGCCAGGGGTTCTTGCAGGAAATGCCCAAGGCAATAAATAACCACTACAAAAAGACTCAAATGCGTAGCATTCAAACGGGCAAATTATGCAGCGAAAGTAGCCAACATGGAAGCCAGATATTTTGTTTTTAATGTGCTGTAACCAACACTAAAGTGGGGATGAACACTCAAAGTGATGGCCAGGATTTTTCCAGAAATGTCTATTGTGCATCACACGTTGCATGGGACTGAAAGTATTAAGGGCAAACAAAGAACAAGTCCTTGCACCCTACCAACACTGGGCCATAAGTTACTTTATAACCATCGGATGCCCTAATATGACTGTAAACGGGTGAACAGGATTTCCAGTATTTGCTCCTTGTGCATTCTCATCCAAATAGTGGCTCTTTGAGTCACTGGGAGTTAACCTTTCAAAATGTAATCTTGAGAAAGAGAAGGAGGGGGGGGGGGGATTTTTTTTTTTAAAGGAGAGAAAAGAGTTACTGTATTTAAGTAAAAGACGCACTTATTTTCCCAAAATATAGGATCTAAAAACAGAGTACATCTTATACAATGGTTGCATATTATTATTATTATTATTATATTTTTCAAATTTCACAAAATCAAGATGTGTCTTATGTATGGGAGAGCCTTAAACTTGGGGAAAAATAGTAATTCCATTCCATTCAGCCAACCCAAACGGCAAAACATCAATAAATAAACCACAACAGAAAACACAATCTACACCAAAACCTTACAGATGAAAACAAATCCATGAGCTCCAGTGTGGCCAGATTGCACAGACGTCTCAGAACATTGCTCATCTGCTTCTCGGCTTGGCAAAGCAAAGGTCGCTGGCCTTTGGAAGGCCTTCTCTCTCTCCACTCGTACTCCAGCCGAATCACACTCTCCCGGCCTAGAATTAAGCTTAGGTGCAAAAGTGTGATGGTGTTAGAGGTCTTTAACGTGAAGCCTTCGCCGGTCAAAGTAGTTATTCTCACGATTTCCTTCTCCAGGTTCTCTTTTAACTCCTGGGTAGATGCTGAAGGGTCAGTTTTTGTAGGAGAGGATGAACTATCACTGACAGGCACTGTATTATCACAGTTATCTAAAGGCAGCATGCCATCTTCGGCAGTTACTGTTTTCTTTGATGATTTTGCAGTCTTCTTTTTGCCAACTGTAGGCGAGGATATCACAGACGCTGATGGATGGGGCAAGGATGACTCTGGTGATGGAGAAGATGGTGTTATCACAGATGATTTGGATGTTTCAGTGAATGAGCTAGATGGCGAGAAGGGCGAGGAGTCAGGGAACATTGCATTTTCATCCTCCAAAACAACTGTTGAAGGCACGGGCCCAGCTGGTGCAGCTGCCTGGGAAAACTGATCCCCTGCCTGACGTACTCCTGAGGGATCATTGAGGCAATCAGGACCAGTAGTTAGTAGGTGCATAAAAGCTGATCGGGGGTCATTGTCAAATTTATAACCAGGCTGATCAACAACCATCAAGTCTACACTCTCCTTGGGTTTGGAACTGGGGTATATTTCAGAGGACTCGATCACCTTCCCCTGTTCATCTACTCCAGCAATCTTTGGTTTGTCTTTATTTTCATTTGATTTTTCAGCTTCTTTCACTTTGGATTTCTTGTGTTTTTGTAGCATAGCTGCAAGAATGAAATAAAACAAATGTATCAGCATTAACATGAAAACATTCAATGTTAGCATTATAATTACAAGTCTGTCAACTTCAAGTCAATCTTCTTCTTCTTCGTGTTCACTAGCTGTAAACTCTGGCGGAAAGTTCTGGTTGTTCGTCCACTTATGAACCTGAGTGTTGCGTGCACATCCCCTTTAAAGACTGGACTTATCTCTATGCAGACTATTGTTTACTCAACACTCAGGCAGAACTCCAACTTTGGAGAAAACACCCATAAGTCGATATTAATGACATGCTTGATACAGGGGCAGTGGGTAAACTCCACTGAAGTACAAATGATAAACGCTAAGAACAACAAGAAGAGTTTTAAACTAGAGGTGTAGTAGCCGTCTTTCATATTCCTGTTATTTTATAATTATATGTCAACAAAGTTCTTTGCAAACAAGCAAACCTAAACATAGCTGAAGTTACACAGTCATGAAAGAGTTGTTCTTCTTCTTCAGCATTCCGAGCCCTTGAGGTTCATTGCTGCAGATATCACCCACCTCTATTCATCTCTCTGGTTGACTTTCTCTTTCCAGTTGGTGACACCAGGTGTTTGCAGGTCTCTCTGAACATTATCTCTATCATCTTTTTGCTCTGCCTCGTGGTCTACGACCATCATCTCCCCTGTGTATAGTTTTTACCTTTCTGACATCTGGCATTCCCTCAATATGCCCCAGCCATTTCAACCTATTAGCTCTCATGATGCCAATTAACAATAGTGATTTAAACAGATTATGAATTTCGTTAATCAGGAAAAGAGTTCATCAATGAAAATGATATCTATGAAGCATGGTATGCTTGACTCACGGAGAATATTTTCCCTGTAACTAGTGAATGTAACATCCACTTTTTCTTGCTCCAGTGGGATCAGTTTCACTGGAGTTATTTTGCAGGATGGATGCAGAAAGCAAACTAGTTCTTCCTCCAGTTCTTCTGTTGCACCAAGGCTCTCTTTCTTCAATAAAGTTAAGGAATAGATTACTGTAGAAAAGCATTACTGCAGCAAAGTTGCCAGATACTTCAAAATTAAAAACGAGCATGATTACTAGTATTGTTAGTTTAATCAAATAAAAAGGATTAAATGAACCACATGGCTTTGTCATCTACACACGATGTGTGTGCAAGATTTGAGCCCGATGGCTTATCAAGAATTTGTTTAAAAATTGAAGGCAAAGTTTTAACCAGACAAACACCATAAATGAAGCTAATAAAAGTCTATAATTATAACTTTTGAAAGCTGCATTTCTTGTGACAACAGAAAAATTACAGTTGTTTCACTAATGTATAAAATTAGCCACATCATGAGGTATTTATCATTAAGTGTATGACTGTAATATTTATTCTCTCCCATTTACCTCCTAATGGAGGACAGACCTTCAACTAACCAACACCAAGCCCTTTGTAGACTTGTCCACTTTTCTTCCTCGTCTTAGCGTTTACTTGCTGTAAATTCTGGCTGTTCGTCCACTTGTGAACTTTGAGCTTGTTCCAGAACTTGAGTTTTGCATGCCCCTCCATTTTCACATGTGGTTTAACTGTATGCAGTCTATTGGTTCCTCACCTATAAGGACAACACCTAATTAGTTGCCTGGTATGACATGCTTGTTAGAAAAGCAGTGGGTTTATTCTCCCCCCCCCCCCCCCCCCCCAACGAGGCTCCATAATCCACACTGGGAAACGTGTTCATGTTTTGCAGCTAGTTTTCAACAGAATGCCTTATCCAGGCATGGCAGGTGCTGTTAGTCACGGCTGTCCCCAGCTGTCTGTCTCCTGGTTTGCTAATAATTTCTGATAGATACTCCATGCCATGAAAAAATTGGGCCTCAAATGAAAACCTTAAAAAATGTGATAGAAATTACAATAACCTTGCCTTTGTCTTGTAACCTATCAATGTTGTTTTGTGAAGGTTTTCGTTTCAAGCCTTCCCATACTAAAAAGCGTCTCTTGGTCTTCCACTGCCTCTCACCCACTTCAGTTTTCATGGTGTCAAAACACTCTAGTCACCACCTCTCCCCCCCCCCCTCATCTTATGACATGCCCAAAGAATATAATTAGTATTATTGTATAAAACTCATTTTGAGTTAATTTCTTTCAATTTAACCTAGGCGTTTTAATCTGTCCATGCTGCTTTCATATTCGCCTCTTTTTCTGCACATTAAGTGACTGTATAAACTCCAGCAGAAAATCATGGTTGTTCGTCCACTTCTGGACTTCAATTGTGCTCCAGGACCTGAGTGTCGCATGTCATCATCTCCTATAAAATCTCATACAGCTTCCACATAAAAGGAAAATGAGCTTTCTTACTTCATTTAGACAGTTTACCATGGAGGTTCAACACATGAAGGATACAAGTCTGACTCTGCGTGACTTCCACTTTTTATCTAAGTATTTGAAGACTGACTCCAAGGTTCGGTTTGCCGTCAACTTGAACCTCACTCGTGGATTCTGGGACATGCCTTGCACTTTCGCCCAGGCCTTGCTGTTTCTGGGTGTAAGCTCTAGGGTGACTTGATGTGGTATCTTCTGAGATACTGCTGCTTCAGGCGCCTGCCTATCTGTGAATTTTTTTTTAAAGCATCAAATGTAAAATACAGTGGCTTCATTTAAAATGTGTTAAAGCAATTAATTTGTGACAATTAAACTGATTACATTATCAATGTTACAGTGTGGGCAATATTAAAACAACTTTAATCTTCTTTTTTTCTTTGCATTCCCCAGTCGTAAACTCTGGCGGAAAGTTCTGGTTGTTTATCCACTTCTAGACTGCAGTCCTGTTCCAGAACCTGAGTGTTGCGTGTGCATTCATTTTACAGATCTGACTCATTTTTATACAGACTGCTGGTTCCTTGCCTCTCAGGCAGATGTACTCTGACTTTGAAGGATGCTCATAATTAGTCGGCTCTTACGATATGCTTTTGAGTAGGCAGTGGGTCTATTTGTGTTTTGCCTATAACAGGACCCCGGAACCTACAAAAAGAACAACTTTAATAACACAAGACAATTTCAATCAGCACAAAGAAAAATCTCATACAAAGCATATTCAGTCTAACTCTATGCTACCAGCATCAGATACCATCACTTACAACAAACCAGAAAACATGGAAATGTTTGTCTAAGAAGGGCAGCAGGAATGACCAGATTAGATAAAAATCAGTAAGAAGGTCACAAGAGAAAAAGCACAGAAGATGGAAACTCTACAACAGCACAATGATGTGTCTACAGTCAAGGTGCCTAGGAGCAGAACCATATCTCCCTCGACAGCCAAAGCAGTAACAGAGGAGGTGAAGAAGAAAAATATTAATACAACTGGCATGACTCCATTGTAGAACTTTGAAATGTTATGTAAATTTATTCCTTATTAGATCCATACTTATCCTTTATCAAGTTTAAAGGTTTAAAGTTAGGAGGATCAACTTCACTGCACTGGATACTATCACATAATATAGCTCACTCTTTCTCTACAAAACAACCATTTCCTCTGTCTGACCTGAGAACAGTGGTTCTATTAATGTTCAGACGCTTTTTGTCTGCTCAATTCCATCTTGCTTCTTATAATCTTTAAATGTTAATCTTATACAAATTTCATTTCTCCTATCATCTCTGTCGTCTGTTCCAAATTCAGACACAGCGGTGACTTAGTTTTTGTTGAGGTTTCAACATCACCGCAATTGGGTTTCCCCATACTTGCTCCATTCCTATGCCATTGTGAATCAAATAAAATTACACTTCCGGCCAAAATGGAGGAAAGGCTTGGCAGAATTGTAAGCTTTGAAGTTATTTTTGCTCCCGACCGTGCTTTGCTAATGCAGTTTCCACTAGTGAGTTTTGTGCCTGGTTGCAGCCCTGGGAGCTGTCTTTTTCCTGAGGAATGCTTTACACAGTTCTGATATTCTAAGCACCAATAACTGAGATTTTTCTAAGCTGAAGGAGGTAAGCATCTGTGAGCAAAAGTGACCGCATGGTGTATGGGAGAGGTGATCTAAACGGAGATTGCCTGGCTGTAACCTGTGTCGGTTTGTCTCGTGTCTCCAACACAATGAGCTTGTGTACTTGAACAATGTCAAAACTAGTCTATTACTAAATGAGAACAAACTGTCTCAATATGTTCTAGTTCTTTAAAATGTGAAATACAGATGAAATAACTATGATCACAAAGGAGCGATGTCGGTACTCTTCTTCCACTTTTTTTTACGCCAGCTGTAAACTCCAGCGGAAATTTCTGGTTGCTCATCCATTTCTGGACATTAGTCTTTAGTCTTGCACATCCGTTTTACTGATCTAGCTAATATGTGTAAAGAGTCAGTTTTCTTTCACTTTTCTTTAAACATGTACACAGTGGTTTGATTTTTACACATATTTACAGGAATTGCTGATATGCTAAATCAATGGCAATATGCAACAAGCGTATAAACTGTATTTATCTGAACAATTCAACATTTGTTACAACAATGATTACCTTCAATTCTATTTATTTTCTTCAGATATGTGCAAATTGGCGTTCGGATTTTGCCAACCCTGTTTAAAAAAATATATAAAAAAGACATCAGTTTCTATTACACTTGTTAATTAATTAACAGCAGATGGCCGATCAGTAAGGTTACTAACCCCTTAAACCTAAAGGCATGGATTCCAAACCTTGGCAGATTAATTAGTTGTCCAACAGATATACATGTATATACTAAAACAGCTAATCATAGAAACTAACATTTTTTTCTTTCAGCACTCTGCAAAATCCTCCAGGCAGGCACCAGATGCTAACCAACCTTTAGCTTGTTCTTCTTCTTCCTCCATGCCGGTTGTTGTTGGTAGTAGAGCTGTACCGAACATTCACTTTGTAATTGTTTCGGGGCCGAACACTTGTGGTCGGGCCAAATACGAATAGTGGTTACCTTACACCAGCTTCTGTATACATTGCCTTAATGCTGACAACATGGAACGATTGGTTTTTTTGAAAGCTAATGCTGCTTTCAAGCATTAACTAAGCTGTCAGTAACAATTTACAAGTTTAGTTACTTGTTTTAATACTTATAATACTTTCATTCCTAGTTATTAGTTACCAAAGACTGACTGAAGAATGCAAAACATAAAAGTTTTCTAAATGTTTACTATTCTGTACATTTTGTGAAGTTCAGCGTACATTTGACACTATGAATAGCTGTGTGATTTAACATTATGAATGTTTTTTAGATTTAGTTTATACGCTATACACTATTCGTATTCGGCTGAATAGTTGGTCCCGTTATTTGTATTCGGCCGAATAGTAATAATCACTATTCGGTACAGCTCTAGTTGGTAGTCATGTCTATTCATTAGTTCCTTTGTTGTCCTATTGTGCCATTATGTCACATAAGGTTCACAGTCTATTTCTCCATTATGTTGTATTCTGTGCAATCAAATATGGATGGAATACAGTCCAACACCTTTGGCCGCCCTCATCAACGTTAGCCTTAGATGGCCAGCGGGCCAAATGTGGCTTGCAGAGGTCTAGCAAGTGGCACGTGGAGTACTGCCAGTTGTACTGGATTAATGATATTCCTATGGTGGGACTGGAGCTTTTGGCCCATGACGATCCCTATTTTCTAAATTGTGGCCCCTGAGTAAACTTGGTTGAATTGCCCTGCCTTAGGGTTTCTTGCAATTATGTCTATAGCACAATCAAATGCTGGCCAAAGATCTTACGCTTAACCAAATCACATCCAGTCCTACCCTACACTACACTATGCAACTCACCACATGTTCTCCCTATTAACTTACTTTCTTCATGTGTTTTTGGTCCACCTTTATTTCTTTAACATCACTTTTAACAGTTTCTTCGTTGATTAGTTGATTTTCGTAGCTATCATGTTTTAAGGGATGAGGTAGGCAGCCCAGGGCTATCCTTTGTCACTTTTTACGTCAGTGTTACTCTACTCTGCTTCCCCTAAGCACCCCAGTTTCTATTTTCTAGGTAAATACAGAAATGAAGATTACAGCACACTAAGGAAAGGAAATTAAACATAATTTTAGTTACGCATTTATGATATCACTACAGAATTCTGGTGACATACCACTTTTCCCAATCTGCTCCAACCAATGATCTTTCCAGTGACTGTTTTATTCTTCAAAGCACCTCTTTTCTCAATCTGCTTCTACCAATGATCTTTCCAGTGACTGTTTTATTCTTCAAAGCACCTCTTTTCTCAATCTGCTTCGACCAATGATCTTTCCAGTCCCTGTTATATTCTACAAAGCACCTCTTTTCTCAATCTGCTTCTACCAATGATCTTTCCAGTGACTGTTATATTCTACAAAGCACCTCTTTTCTCAGTCTGCTTCTACCAATGATCTTTCCAGTGGCTGATATTCTACAAAGCACCTCTTTTCTCAATCTGCTTCTACCAATGATCTTTCCAGTGACTGTTATATTCTCCAAAGCACCTCTTTTCTCAGTCTGCTTCTACCAATGATCTTTCCAGTGACTGTTATATTCTCCAAAGCACCTCTTTTCTCAATCTGCTTCTACCAATGATCTTTCCAGTGACTGTTATATTCTCCAAAGCACCTCTTTTCTCAGTCTGCTTCTACCAATGATCTTTCCAGTGACTGTTATATTCATCAAAGCACCTCTTTTCTCAATCTGCTTCTACCAATGATCTTTCCGGTGACTGTTATATTCATCAAAGCATCTCTTTTCTCAATCTGCTTCTACCAATGATCTTTCCAGTGACTGTTATATTCTTCAAAGCACCTCTTTTCATTATATGACCCCAATAAAAAAATTGTTTGCCTAATTCATACAGAGGGTCTCCTTAACTTACGACTGAGTGCCATTCAAACTGGCCACGAGTCAAATTTATATTTTTTAACACAATTTTTTATTCAAAAAAGTTGTACAAATTGCACATAAAACACAAAAGTTCTATCTACGTACATATAATTATTGTATATAATATAAAAAATACATATGTACTCTATTGCAACAGTTCTGAGAACTTTCTGACCCTATCAGTGATTAGTAACGATTATCATCATAACACCCTGGACAGATCCATAGATGCCCTGATCTCCTCCTCAAAAGCTCTGTAAGTGTAAAACGACGCCCATTTTTGACCCTACCAATGTAGCTATCTGTCTTTTTTTTTTTACATTCATTTTATTTATTTTCTGCGGTCATAAGTGTGGATGGTCTAAGTCACATATGGTGTAAGTTAACAACAAGGTGCAACTGTATATGATGTTCTACCTTTCTTGGCCTCTTCAGGGCAATTGTTATTAGTTATTTAGTGTCATGAAATGTTAAAAACAGAAGCGATTCTCACCTTGTTCTTTTACCTCTAACATTTCTTGCTGTATAAGTAGTTTCTCTGTAAACAGAATGTGGAACACAAGTTTTTTTTTTTTTAAACTATAAACATAAATAGTTTCTATCAAAACAAATTAGCAACATTTAGATCTTCAATTAAGAAATAATTCTTCTTCTTTCGTTCACTTGAAATAGATTATCTATACCTGCAATGTTGTCTCTAGTATGGACTTCAATTTATTCAGCAACCCGTAAAGTTTGGCCTGCACCAGTGTTTCTCCTGGCCAAAAGTTTTGCCTTGATATGTTGTATTTGGGACAGTCTTGGAGGATGTGATCTGTTGTAACAGGTACCAATGTACATCTACACATTCGGTATAGTTAGTTAGTCTTTCCTCTTGTGTCGAGTGCGGCACATAGGGCAGAGGTCATGACTCTCCATGCATGGCGGTTCGCTGCAATCTGTTGTAGGTCTTGGATGTTTGAGTGGCCCATGAGCGAGCCTTCCCTGATGATAGTTCTACGTAGGGTTTCCCTTGGTCTTCCACAAGATCTTTGCCCCTGTGGTGTCCAAATGAGGGCTTGGTAAGGAAGTCTTGATTTATCTATTCTAAGGGCGTGGCCGACATAGTTCCAGCGGCGTTTTCGTATAAAATTAGACACATACTCTTGCCTGGATTCTTGCCTTATTTGTGTATTGGTTCGCAAATCTGACCATTTGAAATTTAGTATTCTTCTAAGGCATTTATTTTCAAAACTGTTAAATTTTGTGTCTAGAGTTTTCGTTGATTTCCATTCAGTATAGCTATTTTTTAAAAAAATTTAATATTTCAAACATGTCTGCAACCCTTTCTAGATCATGCAATGTACTATATCTTCATCAGATTCTTCATGTACCACATACTTTTGCACAGGCAATTATAATTGGGTCAAAAATGAATTAATAATAGACTCTAGCACAGTAGTACTCAAAATGTGATCTTTGAGGGGGAAGGGTTAAACAAGCCTTTCACATGGATGGCCTAAGACACACACACTTACTGAACTTTTATAAAGTCGCAACAAAAAATTGTTATGGTTGGGGGTCACCACAACATGAGGAACTGTATTGAAGGGTCACAGCATTAGGAAGGTTGAGAACCCCTGCTCTAGCACAAAGTACCATAGGACTTTGCGTATACAACTTCAGCAACTTAATAACACTTACAACTAAATATATCAAACACTGAATTACATTCAGGATGCAGAGGTGCTGAACTACACGTGATTGTGCCTCCGGACAACGGCTCCTACTGCACAAGACCTATCTACACCTCTCCATGATCATCCTAAAAACAGGTTCCCAACTAACGGGGCCTGACCCACATTGATAGGATCAATGTTTCCTCTGAAGTCGGGGCTAATCTGCCTGACAGGGAAGGAACTGACAGTCTGCACACAAATAAGCCAGATTTGTAAATCAGGTGTGCATGTAACACTCAAATCCTGGAATAAGACCAAAGTTCCAAAGTGGATGAACAACCATGAATTTCTCCAGCAGTTTACAGCCGGGAAACGCTGGGTTTAAAAAAAAAAACAGCAGCGCACCTAGAGCATTAAATCAATTGAGGTTAAATATTTAGCTAACATCAATGTGTTGATTCATTGGTCCCATAGAGGAGGAAACAGAACAGACTCACTGCTTCCCTAACAAGCATGTCATAGGAGTCGACTAACTGAGAACCTCCTTCGAAGCCGGAGTACATCTGCCTGAGAGGCAAGGAACTACAAGTCTGCATACAAATAATCCACATCTGTGAAATGGGTGTGCACACAACACTCAGGTTCTGGAGCAAGACTAAAGTCCAGAGGTGAACCAAAACCCAGGACATTCCACCAGAGTTTACAGCCAGTGAACGTGATAAAGAAGAATTAGCTGACAGAAAATAAAGTACACTATGAGGCAATCTGGGTTCAATCCTCCAAAGCGGTAGGATTTTTTCAACCAGTATAACTCTTAGGGGGAGTCGCCCTGGCGGAGCGGCTCGACGCCAATCCGAAGGTCGTCGGTTTGCTCCCTGGCGGAGCCGGACTTTTTAAAAAAATGACATTGGCTCGAAAATCAACCCAGCCTGGAGTGGGTACTGGGTGCAGTCCCGGGAAGTAAAGGCGACCAGCGTGATGCTGACCACATCACTCATCTTATGCCGATTAGTCTATAAAATATAGGTCTAGCCCTATATGCCCAAATAAAGGCATGGAAAAGGGTCCTGTTTTTTTTATAGCTCTTAAGTTGACCAGGCTAAAAAAAATGGATACAAGATGATCTTCTTTGTGTTCCACTTGCAGAAAGTTCCTATTGTTCCTCCTTTTCTGGACGTTGGTCTTGTTCCAGAATTCGACTCTGATGGGAACAGCCTAATTTGTCGCCTTTTTATGACAGGCTTGTTAAGAGTTCATTCAGTGGGCCAATTTTTCCCATTCCACCCCCTCCCCATCAAACGGGGCTCTGGAACCCACATGGGCACACAATTTTCTGAGAAGAAACCAACTTAGGGGAAAATCCTGTACTATCCCACCTCATTAAACGGCAGCGAATTTGTAAAGGCCTGACACTTAACATTCCAAGGCACATGTTCTGTGTGGACTACCAAAGTGTTACCCTTTAAATATAAAGTCTGTTAATTCATACTTTTAACTTAAAACATGAACCTACCCATGAAGAATTAATTCATTGAGACACCTTCCAAACTGTGGATCATTTTCTGTAACAGAAGAGCAATATTGTGAAATTAGGAGGCTTTCCCTGAGCTAACTGAAGTTTATACAAAGGGCTTCCTCGTGGGAATCTTCCTTTGCAAAATACAGTAAAATGAACACTCCCTTGTTAGTGGGCTGTATGGGTAAATGGCAGCTACGGTATCATAACTTTAAACCCACTCTGGAACAAACAGGGCTATGCACACCTAGGCCTTTCAGCTCAACCCAGCCAGAAATGAGTCCAAGGAAATGTCACAGGAAGCACAGACAGCATGATACTGACCACATCACCCATCAGGCATCGACTGATCTATATGAGTTCAGCAGCACATGCCTGATCAGTCACATCATTATTTTACTTTCTTAGACCCTTTCTCTACAAAAGTGTCTAGGCTCTATGCTACAGAGGAACTTCAATCCTCGCCTTAACTGGTATTATCATGGCCTGTGATTTGCATGTCTGACTGAAGCACAACCAGACACTATCATCTGGAAAGAAAGAAAGGTGCCAACAATAGGAGTCTTTTAACCCTGTCACCCCAAGAAAGCCGTTTTTTCTGACATTTAGGGGTTTTGATAACATAAGTCTTTGGGCAGTGGCCACTACCTCTATGTTAACAGCTCTGGTACTGGCTGCAACTGCATGGTGTGTAGACGTGGTGTGTACGACTTCCCATATGAGTATGACTTCGATACCCACACACAAAATTGTCACAGATATTATTAGAGGTTTAAAAATTAACATTTTTTTTTTTTAAAGTTGACATCATTGTTGCATTATAAAAATCTCATATGGCGCCTCTTCACTTCCTGTGGCTATGTCAACAAAACAATGTTTATCATGCTCAAACTTCTGCTTCTTTAGGATATTCAAATAATATAAGACTGTTCTTGGGATCTAGGACATATTTTTTTTTACTTCTACACAGGTACCTATTTACGTGTGTAGAAGTATGCAACTGTGTGTGAGTATGCACAGGCATGGTGTGTGTACACATGCGTAGTCACTGTTCAGGGAATTTTTTCGGAACTATCATATAAGATTCTATTACAAAACAGCATTCAATGTTTACACTCAACAAACAGCAGAAGTCAAGAAAACAATGTACAGTAGATATTATTTTCCAAACAAATTCTTTCTTTACCTTTGACGTGATTTTTCAAAACTCCATAGTTGATCAGTCCGTATAACTCAGGTGTCTTCATTTTCACATCTGCAGAATAATTTCAAGATTATGTTAATGCAATCACTCATCATTTTACTACAATACCCACATAAATCCATTCATTCATTCAGTAGCATGTCCCTCGCGGAACCTCGCTGCCATAACAACCCTCCGGAAAACCTTCCTATCCTGAGCAAGATGTCCTGCGTTTGATACACCCATCTGGAGATCATCTGCCACATCCTGCACCCATCTTCTCCTTCTCTCTCCCCAGGCATATACCCCTCCATTATTGTTCTCTCTAGACTTCCATGACGTTTCAAGTGACCAAAATATTTCAATTTTCTGTGTTTTATTGTCTTTACTAGCCAACCCTCTTCAATATTCAGCTATCCCACATAAATACTACAGTTTTAGTATAGCTAAATTATTTGAATACCAAGACTTATACACTGAATGAAAAAGACAATTCTGGCTGAATTTTCTTAAAGATGCCTTGTATTTCTAAATTTGGTAAAACAGTCATTCGGTCTGGGTCACAAACAGGACGGTGCATCTAGGGTCACTGCCAGTCCCCCACAGCTTATCTTGTAAAGTGGCTCCATTGGGACAGATCCCTAGCCTTTGCTCCAAGTAGTCAGGGCAGACCAGCAGTACATGCTCAGGAGTTTGTTTGCTGCACATTCACAGGTGGCAGATTCTTGTATGCCAATCTTGTGTAGGTGTGCTCTAAGCCTACAGTGTCCCATCTAAAGCTTAGCAATTTGTAACTTTTTTTTTTTCCCCTGTTAATGGTTACACTTCACTCTTTGGTCTCCATTTTTCCATCTTATCTTTACCTTGAAGGACTGCTTTAGGAGATGCCTTATGCAAAAGTGCGATAAAACTAATGTGAAAATATGGAAGGGAATGATAATAAGGGTATGGTACAGAAAGAAAATAATACAATATAGAATGTTCTTGCACTGAACCACACATTAAGAAACCAGAATGTGAGTTGGTCGAGGGCCTATGCTCTATTTAAAATAAATTGTGCTTGGACTTGTCCGGTGTGCAGTGAGAATAAGGATAATCTGCTGGTTAACTAACCAAAGGGTTGTGCAGAAACATCACCTCTGATAACCAGATAGCTCCTTCAGGAAAACGTCAAATGAACCTAAACAAGACTAGCAAACAGTTTACATAATGGTTAGTTCCACTATAGTCCCCCCAGAGACTGCCCATACACACACTAGCTCACTTCTGATTGGTCGACCTTGAGTCACCCGACATTGGCACAGGGTAACGAGGGTGTTCCCCAATGCTGCTGATATCGCGTGTTCTATATTTCAGTATGCCAGCGCTTTAAATACCACACAAAAAATGCAGAAACTGGATCTAACACACAACTCCCCTGGATTCTGCAACCTATGTCACAGGCATTCTCTTTCTCTGAAGAAAAGCGAAAATGCAAGACAAAACAGAAAACAGACAACGCAGCGACACACCCGTAACTCTCACGAAAGTAAACCATTCCAAAAAAGTTATAAACGGAACGTGACCAACTTTCTCTGGGGAGACTAACATCAAACTAAATAACACAATTACTGGAAGTAAACAATTACCACATTACCTTTATCATTCAGGTGAATAAATTTAGAAATCTTGGCCCAACATCTGTAGTAAAAATACCGCACTTGCATTTTATCCTTCAGAGGAAGTCCCCGTTGCTTTGCGGAGTGGGATATTTTATGGCTGACTGCTTCAAAGTTTTTGCCAAACTGGGGGGGGGAGGAAAACATTGAAAAGGAATGATTGTGGATTAAATTCAGTAAACAAATTCATTAACTAAGAGAACTACGACTTCTTAGGCAGATCACTATGACTTCAAAATAACACTTGGAAAACTACTTCTTGTTAGCATTCACCAGTTGTTAAACTCCGGTGGAAAGTTCTGGTTGTTTATCCACTTCTGGACTTTGGTCTTGTTGCAGAACCTGAGTCTGCATGAACATCCATTTTACATATCTGACTTATATGTCTGCACACTGCTGGTTCCTTGCCTCTCAGACAGGTGTACTCCGACTTTGAAGGACACTAATAGAGCTGATTACCTGCATTAGAAGAAGACAATCTACACTCTCTGAGCACGGCGTAAGACTGGAGTGTCCAGGACAAGACATTTGCAGGGAGGAGTCAGGGAGAGACCAAGAGGGAAGACAGTGGACAACTAGCATCATAGTGTAGGAGAACAGAAGCCGTCATTGTGCAGCAGTCAGACACCGGCGGATCTGAAGGTAATAGGTTCAATACCTAAAGGTACTTGAATTTTTTTCAACATGTCCCTAGCTCTCAGGTCAACCCAACTTCAAATGGGTACTTCTAAAACTGTGGTCCTTCAGTGTTACATGCATATCCACTTTACAGATATGGTTTATTTGTGTGCAGACTGTTGGTCCCTTGCCCCTCAGGCAGATGCACTCAAGACTTTGAAGGAAACATTGATCCTTCCTATGTTAGCAAGGCTCCCAGATGGGAACCAGTTTGTAGGATGACTGCAGTATGCGATCTGGTCCCCCACCATGTGTAGGTTCAGCAACAACTCTATGTCTCCATTATAAATTCTACTCTGGATAAATTACAGTAGAAAACATCATTCTTCTTCTTTTATCGTCTGACTGATACCAGATTGTAGCCCTGTGTCCCAGTTTTCTGTATTTTTTTTGTACTTCTCGGGTGGCAGATTTTTTCATCCTCTTGCAGGTTTCAGCTAAACTATTTGTCCACCTCTTTGTGGGTCTTCCTCCCAGAAGTTCTGCTTTAAAGAGTGCAGTTTGGTCTGGTTGCATTCTCACTATGGCTGAACCATTTCATTTTTTTGGGTCTCAATATAATCCAGCCATGGTCTTATTCCAACTTTCTCTCCAATGCTGTTTTTCGTAACCCTGTCTATTCTTATGTTGTTATTGACCTTGCGCAGATAACACATTTCACATTACTCCTGTAATTCTGGTGTCCTGGATCAATACTTACCTCCCCTATGCCAATAAAGAATAGTTTTTGGTCTCGGACACTCCATTGAGCCCATGGTCTGCGTTTAGTTTTCTTCCCCGCAGAAGGTTGTCTGCCAACTTGCCGAGCTGTAAAAGATATTTTGACAAATTAGTATAACTGTGAGAAGTCAACTGACATGTTAAATAAAAAATACAAGCGTTAATTGTCCTGCTTCTTTATTCCCCTGATTATTTTTTTTTATTCTGTACATGTTGAATTTTTTTTAGGTGTGTGTGTTGCACCTGTTTACAGTCCAACTGCGATATTTCCACTTGTCTGCTGACACATTAAACTTCAAGCCCCATCCAGTTTCAGTGTTCACCTCCTTAATAAGCTCAGCATTAGTCAATCTGCCGTATGCGTCTAGTCTTCTGTGTCTAACATCAGTTAATGAATGTTTTTAGTTTATTATTAATTGTCTTAATCATTCGCTAGAATGGCATTCCTATTTGCGATGACTTTCTTTTATCTTCTATCTGGCTCGCATCATCGCACGCTAGCTATCTCACATACCGACATCACACGACGAGCAGTTGTTTTCACTACACTATACCTCAACTTCAACTGTTTCTGGTGTTTGTCCAGGACTGATCTTGTTCCACAACTTGTGTGTTACCATGCAAATCCATTTTACACATTTAGCTTATCTGTATGCAGACTGTTGGTTTCTCACCTGGCAGGCAGATGCATTCTGACTTTGAAGGAAACATGCCTAATCAGTTGACATTTACAATATGCGGCAGTGGGTCTATATTCTTCTTCTCCCCACAATGGGACCCCGGAACCTGTATAGGAAATATGGTAAATACAACTTACCAGCTTTTGGCTTTCTTGGTGTAGTCTGGTTCTGAACCGGGATGGGAATTAGACTATCTGCTTCTTCAGCATCACCAAGGCGTTTTCTTTTAATGTTGAGTCGTTCACTAATTCGAGTAGGCTTGGGTGTATCATCTTTTATTCTAATCTCTGATGAGATATCTGTCTTTGGTTTTGACTTTCTGTCTTTGTCCAACATTTCTGAAGATTTATCGCCATTATCATCACTAGGAGGCACAGGTGCTATGCTGGTAAACACTTCATTATCTGTTGCTTGCCTGCACAGAAACATAAAATATAATAATTAAAACAATATTTCAAAAACTGATATTGGCCTTATATACTTTTCAGTTACTTAAATAAATATGTAATATTGATGATCATATTTCAGACATACTGTCTCCATTGATAACTGATAGGAATTGCAATGTACCTTCCTTACAATATCCTGAATACACTTCTTTATCGATGTTTTTTCTAGGACTGTACAAGTTTGGCAATTAAAAAAGCACAAAGCTGGTAAGAACAGCACGGTTTCGCTGCCTGGATTTAGTGCTTTGTGCAGCCCAACGAGCTTTGTCTTTCATGTAGAATGCCTTTCATATGTTAGTTAGTCGACAGATTATCTTCATTGCACGTCGAACCACTCAGCCCATAAGTGCTCGGATCCCCTCCTCAGTAAATCCCGCAGCGTGTAGCGGCTAACGACACCAGTTCTGTGTTGATTTATTATTCTTCATTGGCTACCCAGGTAGTGTTCTTGTTTGGCGACGCCCATGTTGTTCTTGCAGTCTGACCATGGTTGCCTTTCATTTGCGCAGCAGTCGAGTCATGGTATTCATTATGGCCTATAGCCTATAGCCAGTTTACGAGTGAGCTGGTGAAATGCTTTATATATTAATTCTACGTGTGTATAGTCAACTTACTGTGCCCAACTACTTCCATCAACGACAGACTGTATTTCTGGTGGCGACTGTTGGCTTAATGTACTATGTACTGAGTGTACATATTTCTGGACTCAGGACTGTTCCAGAACTAATGTTTTGTTCACCAGTTTTTCAAATGGGACAGTGAGGGACATTACATTTGATTTTCACTGGTTAAAAAAAAAGGAGCAAGTATGTGGAAACATTGTCAATTGCAGTAGTGAAGTTGAAACCTTGACTTCACTGTCACTAAGACTTCTTTCTTTATTACTC